GGTACTGTTATATCAGTGTAAATGCCAGTTCCCCTAAAGTGATACTGATACCAATAAAGTACTTCATTCAATAACCATAATGTGACTGGAGCGTCATGTTGTAGTATAGCCATAATTCTGAATGCTTTGATAGCCTTGCTGTATGCTGAACTATCAACTCTATCAATACACACTGAATTTCACCACACCACAGACTGTATGGTTTAAATAGCTGCTGCTGCTTGAGGGAGTGTGAGCTCCAGCGGGGAACAGGGAGTCTGCTGGCTGCACACACAGTGACAAAGCTAACTATTAGCATCACACAGTTATTCTTACCTAACGGTTACTAATGAGTTTAACAATAGAGTTGAGCCGTTTCAGTGTGAGTTTGTTGGGACTGTTTAACAGCTTGGTGTTGGATGTTAGTCACTGCTGCTGTGTTAGCTTGTGCTAACTGAACAGACAATGAACTGACAGTTCGCAGGGAAGAGAGCAGCTCAGAGTCTGGACACGTAAGCAACAAAAATGTTGCTGATATGGCAAGAAGTCTACAAGGTTCAGAATCAGACCTTTAATAAAGACAGATTGAATGCAGGTTTCGTTTGACTGGAGATGTTTTGATACTGCTTGGTACTGGGTTGTTTTGGTCGATATCAGCACCTAGCCCTCGGGTTAAACTCGTGAAAGTTCGGCAATTGACAAGAAAAATGGATGTCAATCTTGTCATCTTTTCAAATATGGAGAATGATTTTGTGTATTCTGTATTTCTGGATTCTCTGCATCACAATGTCACACGTATGAACTAGTAAAGAAGAGGAATAAATTCCACAAGATGCAGCATAAAAAAAACATTAGTTTAAGTTACATAAGAGTTTCAGAAAATCTCCTTTTACGAAGCCATGATATACCATGACAACAGGTCAAAATCAGAGATTGAAACACTCTGTATTTTATTGTCAGGTTTGGATCATAGCATTCCAAGTGTACTACAGTAGTCAGTATATGCCATTCAGATCATTTTGAATGAATCTTCAAGGAGAAACCAGATCTAGAGCTCATATTTCTCAAAGTCTGGACTCTGAACTTGCCAGCAACAAGTCAACACAAGTGTGGAGGAAAAGGAGCCATGTTTCACAGGAGCACAGAGGGGGGTCATGACACAAAGCCCCACATCCTCTTACTGGATAAACAGGTTTTTATTACTGTGGTTTTATCGACACACACACACACACACACACACACACGTATAAACACGAGCACACACAAGCCCTCTGAATGCTCTCTTAATAGCCAGCAGTTTAAAACTACTAGCCTAATTAAGGTTGTGTCAGATGCAATTAAGTTTAGAAAGAAGTAATTACGCAACATTTGGGCACCCATTTACGTAAAACCTCTGAGCGTTTGAGTCTCGTCTGCTGTTAATGTGTTTAAAGGCTTCCTGTAAACAATCAGATCCAGAGGTCAGTTTTAAAAGGTCTTTTAAGGCTGAGGCTGTAAGTGCATCAGCTATTTTAAACAACCCCGAGCTCCGTTAGGAAATACAGAGCACTCATACAGTCCAGATTAAAAGTGCACTGTAGATTGAATTGACAAAACGTGTTGCACTTAGATTTGTGTTTACTGTACTGTTCAAAATACTCCACACTGGTTGTTAGGATCTGACCTATCCAACATATCTAATGGTGGCTGTCCACAGACAAACAATACACAAGTATGTACATGGTTTACATAGCTTATCATTGGCAAAAGGATCAACGAACAGAACTTCCATGTAATTTGCACTACACAGAAAGTAGTACTTAAGCCGTCTGGCACAGCAGAATTGCACATTAATCACACCCCTCTACTAACAAATTAATCTCCCCTGTCAACACGTTGCACCCACACAAAAAGTAAACTAGTGTCAAAACTGAACAGACGTGTTAATGATTCCAAGAGTGACCTAATGTAAGGCTTTGCTTACAGGGGAACTCCACTGATTTCACACATCAAGGTCTGTTTACTGGTCTTGGGCAGTGCTATTGTATATGTGAAAAGGGTATAATAGTGTGGTTCCAGATGGAGCTGTGCGAAGTCTGATTATTTTGTTTGTACGGGCTGAAGACTACAAGTTTGAGAATTTAAAAAACCCGGTGGTGTGGAGTTTGAAAGAAGTGAGCCTACCAGACCTCGGTACTCCTCATCTCTGCTTGACACTAGCTGCTACATTAGCCACTAGTAGCATGGCATACCTGAATCTCATGGTGCCTTCAAACTGCACTAGGAAGTTAAAATTTCCGAGCTCCCAAATAGAGACTTCAACTGGAATGCCCTCAGAAGTTGGATTCGCGACTCGGAAAGTTGGAGAAACCTCACCAATCTCTGACTCGAAATTCAAGATGGCTGCTCCGCACATCAACAGTAGCGAGAGCTGTAGTAATTAACTTTTTGTTAGCACTTCTGTCTCACTTGTCTCATTAAAACAGTTTTATACACAGTTATTCAACTTCTATCTGTGGTTGTTATCAACCAGTATTGCTAACAATGGCTAATGTGGCTAGAACTGGAATTGGTAACAACACTTTGGTTTTCAGAGTTGTTGTACTGGAACACGCCTAACTCAAGTGTGATGTCATTCCCAGTTCTACAACTCCAGGGTAAATGTAACGCTACATCAGACCAAACTGTGGGTGGTTGAGCTGCATTGTGGGTATTGCAGGCACCAGAGTAATGTGTGGAAAAAAGATGACCATGTGTGATTCTGCTGCATCAATTCTGATCATTTTTGTTTTAAACTTTCCACCATGAGTCCAAAAAGTTGCAGTGCGTGCAGTGTTAAATCTGTGGCATACTTTTGAAACAGTTCACAATCATATTCTCCAGTTGCTTGCTGGTTGCACTTTGAAAATAGTCAGCAAGATGCCAAGGTAAATATATGCACATAATGTTACAATGTTTATAAAGCCACTGCTTTCCAATTGATAGCATTATCATATCCAGAATATTTACATACCAAAAAACAACAGAGCAACAGAAGGTTGTGTGCAAAAATATTGAAGTCAGTAAACAAAAAATACAGACATCAAAACTCATAGGTGCCTACCCACAAAACAAGGCATCTTCTGAAATGATAGACCAGACCACTGTAGCATCACAGAAGATTGTGCTACTCCCATCAGCTCGTCCTCAACTGTCAGTTGAAGGGTAGGGTACACATGCAAACTGTTTTTATAGAGAAGGTCAGAATCAGCACAATGTTTGAGACTCAGCACAATGCTGAAAACAGCTAAATCTGATATTTTTATTTTCATTTAGCCTCCATGAACATACAGTATATGGATGTATCATTACACTCAAGGGTGAAAGAGTCATCCTCTTGACGGTAGGTCAACATTTTCGAGACATGCTGACAGGAATATTAAAAAATAGCTGAATTTTAAACATCATAAAGTACCAGCTCCTTGTGGATGTCCTTGTATGCACATATGTAAATGTGCTTTTGTTTGTGAGCGTGTGTTTGAGATTCAAGGCGGGCTGGCAGACAATAAGAGGAAGTGTTCCCCGTCCACTGCGGTGTTTAATTGGTCAAACAGACCAAAGTGAGTAAGGTCTTGTTGTCCCAACAATAAGGCCTTGTGTTCCCTGAGCCTGAGGTCAATGTGTAACACCAACACGCTACTCCACATCTCTGCAACAACAATTCAGCAGCTTCAACTGCAGCTCGTCATCACTAAAACAAAGTTGCTGAATGTGACTCCCAACACAACCTCGCCAACCAGCAATTACTGCTGACCTACTATTTTAAAAGAGTTTAATCCACACACTTATTTGCTTACTTCTACAGAAATGCACATTCCACTCTAAGCAGTGTTGAAATCCTTCCCAATAGCAGATTAATTGCTATTTTAAACCCAGCAGCAGCAGGTTTGAATGAAACGGTGTGTAGTGAGATGTCTGACGCCCAAGTGAAACACCTGTCAGCCTGAGCAGGTGTATGTCTGGCTGCCTGGCTAAGCCCTGCACAAACACAGGGGAAGTAGGAGTAAAGCTGACATTAGACGCCAGCGACTTATCTCGTCTCTGCGCAAAATCACACATTCGCATTCCTGTTTTTACAAGAAAAAGGTGTCATGACTCCATTCAGATGAAAACTTTTCCACGCTGAAATCGGGAGGAATCTGTCCATGTCAACAAGCTTACCCTAACGTATAGAGCAGAGACACACTAACACACATAACACACCGAGCAGCTCATGTGGGAAATTCTATTTTTACCATCAGGCAGGGCGAGGCTCTACCATACAGCACACAAAGTGGGGAAACTATAACAAGGGAGGGAGGGAGGCGGTGGAGGGCTGTCAGGGAACAAAGCGGAAGTGTCCTTCCTCCTGATGACCTGCATAAATACAGAGTGTTCTCTGTGCACATATACAGTGCGATGCAGCTGTACACTGGGGAAACACTGTAGGAATGAACATTTACCCAAAATGCATACAATGACCACTACTGAAAAGAACAGTTTTTTCACACACTATTTTGCAATCCACTCTATCTTATCATTCTGCAAAGGACATGGACTGTATGTCTGCTCAGATGAGGGATTCCTCCCTTTCTCCCTCATTATGGGTCTTTTTTGGGAGTATTGCTTTATCCAGATGGACGGTTTTGACTGTACTTGCTCTTGATGGCTACTGTAATTGTTGAGGGGACCGAACAAATTCAACTTCTTCATGAAAGCTACAGTGTAATGGCACACTATAGATCCAAGACACTAATAAAAACCTTAATGAGCAATGACTTGGTGGGTTAAAATGGGAATATGGAGCATGAGGGATGGGTAGATGTACATTGGAGAGCTATTTGTTATTCATATTTCATAGAGGTGACCCCAGTTGACACAAGTATTTAAAATTAAAAATGGTCAAACATTGTGTAAATATCATAAAAGGGTATGCATAATTCATATTTTGGTCAGATTAGTTCTTATGGGGACAGTTTGTGTTAAGGGGACTCTGCAATCCCAGTCCCACCAGAGTCACTCACCTCCTCCAGGGCAGCCACTGTATTCCTGCAGTGGGACATCCTGGTAGTGAAGTTAGAGGCAGTCGGGGATTTATAATCTTCATTCGTCTCTGCCACAAACTCTGAAACCGTGATTTGGTCCGGCATAGCTAATCCCTTATCTGATGAGAAGAAGACGCGCTTTTCGTAATCCCACTAGAGTTTTACCGCAGAAAAGTTCACAGCAGCAGCAGCAGTAGTGTTTCTGAAGGTCCCCGCGGGTAGTAAACCATCTCCGGGTGTGTTTATGTCATTCCCTTGTTTGCTCCAGACACTATCCAGTGCAGCGGTGTCGCACGCTGGCTCGAGGAGTCACACACCGCGCTGAGCTACAAGGTGATAGTAGGTAGGTTTTATCCCTCCTCTTGGATTTCACCCCGCTACTCTCTTCCCATTCAGCTTCACAGGTCGTCCTCTGGTCACAGAAGAAAAGTGGAGCTTCCTCCGTGGAGTCCTCTCTCGGTGTTCCCAGAGCTCCGGCAGCGCGGGGTGGACAACTTCTTCCTCCTGACCGGGGAAACAACAACCAGGCGTTTCAACGGGAGCGCAAGAAATTGACAAAGGTAGAGGAGGGGACTCAATGGACCTGCGACAGCCAATCAGGAGCACCGGCTGGTAATTGGGAGCCAATCAGGACTTCTGGAAGGCGTGGACTCGTGGTGCCTTCATGTGCTCCTCGTAAACTATCAAATCCTCTTAGCGTAATCGCTCAACTGCCTCAATACCACTTAAAAGTTGTATCAGAGTATACAAAATGATTTGAACACCTCGTGAAAGGGGCTTCGATCTGTTATGTAGCCTACATTTAGAAAACATAACTGATACGTCTACTATATACTTTGAACTATCTCAATAACACTTACATACTTACATTAATGTGGGATATTTGGTACATCATTAGATTAAAGGAGGACCCCACCTAAATTGAGAATTCCAATATGTTATTTCCATGTCCTAGGAGAGTTCAATCAATAATTGTGAACAGGAGCTACTCTCTCTCAAAGCCAGAAACCAGAAAAGTAAGTCTCAAACTCATGGTGTCATAGGGTAGAAATTCTAGAGGTGCTCCATAGACAATGAATGAAGCCTCATTCTGGGGATCCACAAAATGTTTGTTGTCTTTTTTATACCTAGCCCCCAGGAAGTGCGCCTGGAATTGAAACCAATTTTCATAGTGGCCAAATGGTGCTACTGTTATTTTCGGGGTTCATCCGCCTAATAAGACCTTTTCCTATTGACTTACACTGGGAAAAAGACATCTGTTAATCAGATGATACTTTTTTCCTCCATTTTATTCATTTGAGTGCTACAACCCCGCAAAATCTTTTCTTTTACTATCAGGGTATGATCCATTCAGTTTGATAACATTCAAATGTCTTGAAGAGCTGCAAGATTAAATCATTTTATCCCCCTTCAAGTTAGCAGAGCACTAAACCATAGCTGTTCAGCCGGTGGAGGTCAGACGTTTGGCCACTCGGACACGCTCAGCTACAATAAGTCTCTAGTGTGCATGCTTTATGGACCATTAAGTACAGAAGTAGTGCCGAAAATCTCCGGATCATCTGGGTTATTTTATACATGGCAGTTTAACCAGTTTGGCTTCATGTGCCACTGAGCAACTTTCATGGGAGTGAATGGGGTTCCACCACCAATACTGTATCCAGTTCTCCTTTTGTGAATACATCCATTTGTGATGTCATAGGGTATAAAGTCTGGAGCTGCTCCACTGACAAAACAAATTTGAGTTTTAGCAGTCTAGTTTTTGGATTTGGGAGAGAGTTGTTCATATTTACTAATATTTTTGGACTGTCGTAGACCATAGGAATAACATGTATGAGTTTTGAAAATGGGCATAGTTCCCCTTTAAATACTACTTAACATTTTTCAGCAAACAAAAGAAAAGTGTGGCAGTCAGCACTTCAATATGTGTATTAATGTAGATTTAAAAAAAAAAAACATAAAGAAGAGGTGATGTTAGACAAAATGCTTAAAATGTTATTCAACATATTGAGGAATCTTGAAAATTAAAACGGATGCCAGATGAATTCAAAACATTTTCTCATTAAGTTGTTTATATTACTTTTCTGTATACCCTATGACTAAGTTTTGGTTTAAGCTTAGTCAACTTTCACTCTCATTGTGATGTCTCTTAAAGTGACTATGTTTATGTTTTTCAGTACTGACTGAAGTGCATGTAAACTGTGGATTAATAGTATATTAAACTATACGGTGCAAAACAATTTTGTGTTTTTGATCGACTAGCCTCATTTCTCAGTGGTTTCTTGTGTGCATATAAATATGGATAATAAATCTAGATCTAATTATGAAATGCTTTTAGGCCCGTGTTTAGTGACTTTGATGAAGTTGTGGTCATCTGTGACAATGTAAGCAACTGAGAGTTGTTGAGTTTTGATTGGTGGATCTTGTTAGCAGCAGAAGGTCACATATCCAAGGAGTAAATGACAGTCTTTGTGTCTGTTAACTATTACTATGTGGATTTAAACCACTTCTGGAAAGAATTTGAGCTGTTTTAATGGTAACTTGTGGGTTGAAATTGTTACAATATCCTTCTAAAATCAATCAAGAAGCCAGTTAATGAAATTCAACTGATTTTAATTTTTTTCTCCAAACATTGCAACTAATGTGACCCTTATGTGAACGATTTAAATAAACATATACCTCATAAAAATATAATAAAATCCATTAATATAAATGTGATACAATTTTCCAAAATCTATTTTCTACTCATGTGGGCACTTGATTAATCCATTGCAGCACACACTGTATATAATCACAATATTTCCGACAGCACTTGAAAGCAGCATCTTGATTACAGCATCACTAGTAGTTTCTTAAGGTGGAGACTGGAGAAGCAGCGTGTGTGAAAGTGATGCAGCGTCATAGTGAAAGTGTGTTTCTGTGCACGTGTATTTAATGTATGCTTATTTTTTCTGTAATGCTGAGTGTGAAAGGAACATATAGTGTTTGGTGTTTACACTCCTGATAATTGCAGCTGTTCACAGAGTTTATAATCTGCATCTCCTGCTTTCATTATTCATTCAATGGAAATAGCATGCATCTATACAGAAACCACAACAACACAAAAGCCTCGTCATGATGCAAAAACTGCAGCACAATACTGTAAATAATGTAATCTTGTATTTTATTTTTTTGCATATTGTCAGAACATATGTGTTACCTTTTATCTAGACAGCTGACTGGAGATAATTTTTGTTGCACCTCTGACAAAGAGAAGAAAAGGATCAACATTTTTGTGAGAGGCTTCAACAGGATCAGCACTGATGCTGGTAATGAGCCCCGATAGTGTACCATCATAATGATTACTATAAAAAGGCTAATTAGACTGGTAATTAGCAGAATACTGTCAACTTTGTTTCTGTGTGTGCTCCAGAGTTGAAATGAAAGAAGCTACTGCAATGTGTGAGAGTATGGTTTGTTGTTTTTTGTAGGCCACAGCTAAGAATAAATGTGATTTTAAAAAAGACTTTTGTATCCCCCCCCAAAAAATCCTGCTGGGAAGAGGCAGGGGAAGGAGAAAACATTTTATCATTAGGCGCCGGCTGAAACTTGTGAAGACTCTCTCATGCTTGAATTTTTGTCAACAGGAGCTTGAAAAAACTGCAGCCTCTGCTCCCAGGGCGCCTGCGTTTTTCTTGGGCTTTGGGATGAAAAATCTGCTGATGCTTCCCAGCTCATTCAGCCCCGGCAGGACAGCTACCGGTATAAATAGTATCACAGCGGCCTAGGCAAAACCCTGGGCAGCTTTTAAATCACAAACTGGGCAGTGTTCACACATTCTTTCAGCTCTGCAGCGTCTCCTGGCAAGCTGCTAAATGAAGAGCCCGAGACCCAGGCTGACCCTGACTGGCTACTCAGGCTTCAACTCTGCACACACTCCCGGCGAACATTTGCTATCCAGAGACAGAGGGGCTCAGTCAGTGAGGTCAGCGCCAGCCGTCCTCTTCAACCACTGACACGGCTTTATATTTTCAGGAACATCTGCTTTTCTAAATGCAGGTTTTATCCTTTAAATCAAAACCAAACCAGCTTAAAAATGTCTCCACCGTTAGTGCTGCACCAGTTGTATTTTTCCCCGTTAAGCTGCTGAAGAGCAGCACTGGAAACAAAGGTGAATAGGGTCATCCAGCAGGTACAGGTTGGGAACATGAAATGAATAGCACATTGTTTATGGGACCTGGAAAAGCACAACCAAGCATATCAATGAGGGATCATAAGAATGCAGATCCAGGAAATAGTGTCATGTAACCTTTGCATAAATAATCCACACTCTGCTTTTACTGTATCATATAATCATCAAAGCCTCATAAACTTTTGATTTTTGAATTTTACAACCAAGCCCTATTTGCCTGCAGAATAAAAGATGCAAACACAGAAGCTGTTGTCTGTTTTGTTTAACTGAACATAAGCCTCATTCACCAGCATCCTCAATATAGACCTTGTTTGCATGCAAACAACTTACAGCCCAGAGTAACAGGTCAGAGCGGTAGGTTTTGGATGGGCTGTGGTCACGGCTGATTAGTGATTTAGTGAGACACGAAACTGAGAAGGTCCATATTGTTCACTGCCTCGGTGCACCCGTGAGCTATTTTCACTTTCCTTCAAAACCAAAGCTCATTTTGCAATAAGAGTGAAACCAAACGCAACCAGCTGCAAGCGGAATAAAAGCCAAAGCGTATGTCATACTGTACAGTCCAGAGACCCTCTTGGAAAAGATGCTTGTAGTTTTTATTGCAAACTTCACCAGAACACAGGGTGTGTCGTACACAAGTATCCAACATGGGAACAGACAGCATGTCATAGCAATAAAAGGGACAGAGGGCTTGAGTGGGAGTCACTTTTTCCTAACTGCACTGCCATGACATCATGATTGTGTAACAGGTGGGATAACCTCACAATCCAGCATCTTATGTTTCAAACAAGTGGAATGAATGACTTCTTTGTTTAGAATAATTAGCAGCTAATGCTAACCACTCTGCAGCAGAAACTTTCCAACACACAAGTGGACAAAATGGCATCTCCTGCAGGTCTGCTGCTTAAACATTTTTAGCTCAGCTTCTCACAGATCATAGAGCACATTACTAACTAAGGACTACATTAAAGAAGAGCTTGTTACACAAATGAGGTGGCTGCACATTGGCATGAACTGAGCAAGCGGTGCCTGGTGAACCTGAGCGGTAGCGGCGCACTGTGGGACTCCTAATGGGAGAGGGATGAAGAGAGGAGGGGAGGGTACGGGCAATGGAACAAGGGGAGGGAGAGGAGCGGTGAGGGGAGGGCAGTGAACTGTAACGAGTTTAGTTTTTTCTCACAAACGCTCAGAGAGTAAGCTCAATAATGAGTTCAGGCAAAGGTTTGTTTGAATGGATGCTCGGTACAGGAATGACTTTAAAGAGAAGATGATGAAACTAAAGCATAAAACAGCAAATGACAGAGAATTTGGTTTACCTACACTTGGATGTTCTGTGT